CTGCATTACGGGAATATGAGGTGACAGTTTAAGGAACTAAGGAAAAATTATTTTATACTTTTATATATTTTTTTAATTATTTAAAAATTGAAAAATATTGCTTTTGGATTATGGAAATCTTTTTTTTAAATAAACACTCACTAAAATCAAATACTATTTGTATTTGTAGTTTTCTTTTATATTAAAAATTAAAATTGGTAATATTTGAATTTCTAGATGTTGCATCTATATTGAAATGCTAAAAATCCCAAATTTATTTTCTTAATTTTTTTAATATCAACATGTTAATTATCATAATTAATTGTGTTTATAAATTAATGAATGAAAGTTATTATCAGTATTTTATTTTAATGCTATTGTTAATTTTTAAATTGACAATTCACATAATTTTGCTTGATGTTTAATGATTGTTATAACAAATACTCTAATAAAACGAAAAACCGAAAAAATATTAATAAATTTACTCATAAATATTTATTATGAATCGCTTATGAATAATTAAATAAATAATTAAATGTATTTCTATTTAAAAAAATATTATTCCCATTAGTTTTTTATATTATAAGAATTTTTATTAATGTATAATGTTAATTGATGTTTATGGAAGATTATATCAGAAATTCTAATCAAACGAAAATCCAAAAACAAAAATAATAAGCTGGGCTATGTCCTGAATTATTAATTATGATTATGATTGCTATTTTCAAAATAATATTTTTAGTATTATTTTTTATTATCATAATAATTTTTATTATATTGACCATTCACATGATTCGAATTGATGTTTATTGACGATTGCATCAAACACTCTAATAAAACAATAAACCAAAAAACAATTTATAAGCTAGACAATAACCTAAAATATTAATTATTATTAAGATTAAGTACATTTGGAAAAAATAGTGTTAAATTTTAATATTATCGTTATTTGTTATTATATTGTCAAATAAATAGAATGTTATTTGATGTTTATGGAAAATTATAGCAGATACTCTAATAAAAAATAAGTATAAATAATAATAAACTGGATATAATCAGAATTAAAATAGTCAGAAATATTTATAATAATAATTGATTATGACTTGCTCACAAATAAATATATATATTACTATTGAAAAATTATTTGTATTGTTTTTTTAATATTATGATTTTTTTATTATTAACCATACCTTCCAATAAACTCCTAAAATAAATTTCCAACTCCAAAAAACAAAAAAATATTAATAAGACTGAAAAGATATTAAAAAATGATATACTTAAAAAAGAATATTATAAATGATATAAATTAAAAAAGATATTAAGAAATGATAAAAAAAAAACAAATATATTACCTACTATTTTGAAAAAATATCATAGGTATTATATTTTAATGTTATATTTATTTATTGTTTTATTGACAAATCAATAGAATGTTACTTGATGTTTATTGACAATACTCAATCAGGTGTCCTAATTAATCAAATATGCAACAAAAATATTAATATACCGGATAATAGTCCAAAATATTACTTATTGATATCAATTATGACTTGCTTATGAATAAGTAAATAAATAAATAAATATATTACTATTGTGATAAATATTTATTTCATCTCCCATGACGTCACCCGTGCACTACGTGTTGAAAAAGTCGATTAGAGCGTGTAAAATCGTCCAGATCCTAGATTACTTCATAATTCACTCAAAATCCAGGTAGTTGGTACTAAATACTGAATCACATCCTTTACATTGTGTCCTTTGTCCTTTCAAATGGCCCACACTTGTCGTACAAATCACAATGCAGGTGGATTTGTAAGAAATGACAGGATTTTACTAGTTCTCTCTTTGACAATGAACTGGAAGATGACTAATTTGTTTTGATCGTGATGCCTAATCATTTTAGGAATCTTCAAAAATATAGTTTGCTTTTGTTATCTATAATACATATTTAGTTGGTTTATCTATAAAACGGAACAAAATTAACATGTGTACTCATAGCTAATATTTTGGAAAAATATATTTGTATGAATAATAAAAATATAAATATTATTCGCTATGTATAATTTGCACGGTATATAAGTTTAGAACTTATTTACAGTAAATGAAAAAAAGTAAACAATTATTGAACTTAGACAAAGTAACATGTATATTTATGTTTCCAAAGTTATAAACATGATTTTGCTGATTTCATTTTAGTATAAATAAATAAATAAAAAATCATAAAAATTTAGGCTGCAGTTTCAGAAAACATAAATAAAAAAGTTTGTAAAGTTTGATGACAAAATTATCTATTATATAAAAATAAGTCGGGTTTTCCTTCCTGACGAAATAACTCCAGAACGCACGAACCGATTTCGACAATTTTGCATTCGTTGGAAAGGTCTCGGGCTCCGCAAGGTTTATAGATAAGAAAATTAGTGGTGCATGGCATCGTGCCATTTAGAAAGTCATTGTTTTTCACATGGGCAGTTACACGTTGCCTGCTCACGAGTTGGAAAACATTCCGCTTTGTTTGTGTTAATGTCAGACCAAGAAACAAAAAATGTGGTTTACCAAAGAGCACTTCAATGAAACGGATAATTTGCGGATTCACTTTCATTTACTTAAAGAAGTTCAACTAGAAAATTCTTCATTTTTGTAATCGAAATAAATTCATTACTGTTGTGCAATAAAATCAATTTTTTCCTTTTCAAATATAAAACAAACAAAAAATTTCTTCATCTTGCTCACTAAACCATCTGGTGGGGAAACGGAGTTCTTCGGGTTTGCTAGTTTTTGATAAAAAGAAACAAAAAAAATTATAAATTTGAAATTGTTCGTTGCGTTTAATATATAATTTTGATATACATATAAATGAAATTTTTTTATTGCGATGTTGGTAAAATTTATTATTATTCTCATATATACCAGAAACATCTATTTGAATTATAATTTTGAGGATACTCAAAATATAAATTATGATATACTAATACACTTCTTAAATTATCTCACACTAATACCTACCATTAATTTCAATTATAAATAACTTATAATTTTATTAGAATATTAGGTAACAAAAATTTTTTAGAATATCTAATGTACAGAATTTCTGGCAATTTTGACAACAGAATATTTAAATTATTAGGAGCCATCAATGTTTTTTTTTCTAATTAAAAATATATTAAATTTACCAAGTAATAAATTTTTACCTCGTGGAACATAAAAATCAAGAAATAAATGAAAATTTTTACTTCATAATCATTTTACATTTATAATCAACAATATTTAAAATAACTATGGTACATAATTTCAGGCAATTTCGACGACAGATTATTCCCAATTATTCAGAGACAATTTTTGGTTAATTGGTCAAAACTATTTCTGGTACTAATTAATAATATATAATTTTAACAAATATTAACATCTCAGCCCGATGAACAAAAGACAAGCAATAAATGAAAATGATTACTCTACAATTACTTTCATGTACAATATATGCAATCTACTACCAAAGTATTTTTATTTAAAAAATTTTGAATTAAGAAACATTTTGTACTTATATTTAATTTTAAAAGCTGCAAGTGATCATATGATTTGGTTTTTTAATGTTTTTAAAAAATTTAAATCTAAAAAAGGCTCTACATAACTTGAAGTATGAATATATTTTAAAAAACAATATCTATAAAAAATATTGATACCAATTCTTTTTTGTAATCAAATGTTTCTAAGAATTTTAAATTAAGAAACCTTTTTGTCCTACTTATATTTAATTTTGAAAAATGTTACTAATCCATGAATTAGTTTTTAAATTTTTCAAAAAATAATTTAAATCTAGAGAAGGCTCTACTTAACATGTTAAGATGTAACTAGGTATATATATTACCGAACAATATCTATAAGAACATAAAATTCTCATTCTAATGAAATATTTTCATGACATTATAAAATTAAAAAAAAAACGATTTAAAATTATCCTCAGAAAAATCGAAGTTCAACTATTCAATATACAACTTACAATTTATTATTAAAATGAGCAAACGGAAATTCATAAAAAACTACATAGTTGTAGTAATATTAGTAATTGATTTTCAAATTCAGTTATGATAACTAAATAATTGTAAGTAAATAATTTATAATAGATTAGAATTAAAAATAATAATAAAAAACTAATCCAAAATCTTTATTCTTAAACTATTACAAAATATTTGGTCAGTTTAATTATTGCAATTGACAGAATATTAAACTGAATGAAAGTTAACCGAAATGTATGGATTTAAAATAAACTTATAAAAAACATTCATAAAATTTTTATTGATATTTTACCGATATTTAAAACGAACTAATATATGTGTATATATACATATGTATATATATATATATATGTATATATATGTATATATATATGTGTGTGTGTGTGAGTGTGTGTGTGTGTGTGTGTGTACAAACATATGAATATGAATTTGAATGTAGTTCATCGTTAGAATTGAGTTTACAATAATTACATCGTTACCTGAAAATGGCGTTAATGTCTGTATGAAAAATTCAATGTATGCAGAATAATTTTGATATCAATCACATTTCCCCGCGAACATAACGTGGCACATCGTTGGAAATCTAACGTTATCATATTTCCAATCACTCATCACAAAAGCACAAATTCACGTAACATCCCGCAATGATAGCTCGCGGTCCATTTGATTGATTGCACAAAATGAGACCAAAAGCCGCGACGGAAAGGCCAATACATGTCAAATCGAGATATCGCCGGGCTCTCGCCTTCCCCCGTCTCGCGCTGATAGTTCGACGCGTCGGCGCGACGCAGCTTTCGGGCGCTTGCGTCGAGTGAGGCGGGCCGAGAGAAGCTTTCGTCGAGGCCCGCTCCATTGGTCGGCGGCCGACTAGCGTCCCTCGTCATTGGCTCTACGGCGTATCATTTATCCTCACCTGCGACTCGATCCCCTCCACGAGAATGAAAATTCAATCCGTCTCGTGTAGCCCGGGCACTTCAGTTAGATCATAGGAACTCAAATAGCGAGGGCCCCCTTCTAAACCAAACACGACGGGACTGTGCGCTCAGCAGTCCTCTGTACAACAGGCCTGTTTGTTTTTCCAATCAGTGTTTTGTTGGCTTTCTTCATCAACAATACCTAGTGTAAATGTGTGCAAGATACCTGTTGGCAAATTACAGTTTTTAATTATTAATTTTATTAGTGAAGTGATCGAACAACTGTTTTAGTGTTATGAATTAAGTTTTAGTGTTAATAATGACAATGATGCCACAAAAGTTATACCCTGAGCCGACGATTACGAGTTCTATGAGTACGGCGGGAAATTCAATGTCGCCGATGCCGCCGACGTACAGTATGAATTCGATGGGTTGTGTTCCCATGGGCATGAACGCCGGATCGCCGACGGCCAGTTTTGGTGCTAATATGTTGGGTTCCACAATGGGCAGCATGGGTTCTATGGGTTCGATGGCTGGAATGAACGGAAATTGCATGTCTGGTACCGGAATGGGCTACGGATCTCCGATGGTAAATATGACATCGTGCCTGACACCCGGCATGGGCAGCGGATATAACGGCGGACCCATGAGCGGAGGTCGCGCGGACGGCGATGCGGCTTCACCGAATTCAGCGGCTATGCAACGTGCCAGGACAGATAAACCTTACAGAAGAAGTTATACACATGCAAAACCGCCATACTCATACATATCTTTAATAACGATGGCTATACAAAATTGTCCGACGCGCATGCTAACGCTAAGCGAAATTTATCAATTCATTATGGATCTGTTTCCGTTTTATAGACAAAATCAGCAACGTTGGCAAAACTCTATTAGACATTCTTTGTCATTTAATGACTGTTTTGTGAAAGTGCCACGAACGCCTGATAAGCCTGGCAAAGGATCATTTTGGACTTTGCATCCGGATTCTGGAAACATGTTTGAAAACGGTTGCTATTTGAGGCGGCAAAAGCGTTTCAAAGATGATAAGAAAGAAACGATTCGTCAATCACACAAATCGCCATCGCATATGGACGGAGTAGACAAAAAATCGTTATTGCAGCAAGATGATCGCGATAAATCAGTGGACGCTCAGCATTTAAGTGGCATGCTTGGTTCAGTACCAGGGAAAGGTGATACAGATGGTTTAGGTTTGCTACATGCCGGCGCGGATTTATGTTTACAAAACCAACATCATTCTCAATTGCATCACTCTCAACACCATCATCAACAATTACAGCAAGAAGAACTTTCAGCGATGGTGAATCGATGTCACACAACAGCACTGTCATTAGCAGATTATCATCCGATGCATTTGAAACAGGAACCGACAGGATATACGCCTTCGAATCATCCATTTTCGATAACGCGACTTTTGCCGGCGGAGAGCAAAGCCGATATTAAAATGTATGACATGAGTCAATATGCAGGATATAATACTTTGAGTCCATTACCGAATTCACATTCGACACTTGCCAACGATTCATATTATCAAAGCAGTATGTACCACGCCCCAACGGGGGCCACGAGCTTGTGACAGTATCCTTTGGCCTAAGATGATAGCGGATTTTAGGGCCATGAATATTATCCCACAATATCAACACAGTGCGCGTAATTTTTGTAAATAATAAATTTTCGAGAGAAAAAGACTCTTGTGTGTAAATTAATTTTATATAGATTTGTGTAGAATGCAAGCGTGATGTGTTTTTAATAATAAAAGACTGTTTTCGACAAAACATCGAACACATTACATATGTGCCTGATACGAAAATTTTTAGTGCGCAAAAATTGTGTGTGTTTACATAAAAAGTCGGTTAAAAATGACAGTTTCGATGCAGCTGCACAAAAGATGCACATACACTGAGGTTTGTAAATTAAAACTTCGGTCTTTTTATTAAGTGGCACTTACTCGTGTTTTACAAATATCAGCGTTATGTTCATCTTTTGTTGACATGTGTTTCAAAAAATTTCTCGGTGTGATTTTACTCCTCGAATCAAAATATAAGCAACGTTAATTAACTCAAAATTTCAATTGGATCTGTGCAAAATCGTTTTTTAAAAGTAATCTCATTATCGTGGATCTTTTTATGTAATAAATTAAATGCGTTGATCGTAGGATTTGATTATTGGTTTTGGCATTTGCATAATTTTTTTAATTAAAGAGCTGCCAGATTAAGTTATTGAATATTTAAAAGCTATATATTACTATACTAACTGACTCTATTGCCATTTTCACCAATCGATAAAATAACATACAATCGAATAGAATGTTAATTAATAAATCTTTGTTATTATTTTTATTGTGATGAAGTTGATACTTTATTTATATATGTATATAAGTTACACAATATCGAAATATTAAATCAATTCCTGAAATATGTAAAATACTCTTAATTTAAATTACTCATTTCTTAAAAAAATCATAAAACGCGCTAAAAACTTACTAGATTTTCTGTAACTTATGTATGTATTAGAAATATATTGAATGAAATTTCAATTTGATCATAATATTTATTAAATGTTTGCTCTGCACGTTTCTTAAATGATTGATTTTAAATTCATCTATAAATATTTGTCAAATCTATCAAATTGGAATTGAGCTGTTTGAACATAATCTGAAATATTTATGACCAGAAATACTGTAAATTTAAATCTGATCTATACTTTTGCATATGTTTATGTATTTTAGTTATATATTTCTCTTCCGCTAAATAGTGCATAAAACATGAGTTTATTACGAAAAATCAACTCATCTGATTAATAATAAATTACTACGTTTTGGGTAGTGTAAATTATTAAAAATGTCATTTTTATTAAATAGTATATTTATATATGTATAATAGAATATGCACATATAGTATTGATCTAACATATGTGTAAATTTGTTCATCGGTATATTATAAATAATATTGTAAAATCGATTTATATAATTATTAATTGAAAATATATAGATATATATGTACATAAAATAAATATTATATATAAAAATTAAATTATTTGTTGTTTTTATTTTTGTATTTGAATAAATTATGACTTTAATATTATTGATTCACTTTTTTACAGGTTTTTATTGTTTATGATATTAATTATTTATAGCGAGCTCAATAAATTTAAATGGACAAGCAAATTATTTGACTTTATATTTAATTTTAGAGATTTTTTTACTATTTTGTAATTCTTTTCGATATATTTATAAATCGTAAATTGTGACAAGAAACGAATTTAATAGTTATGCAAATTTTCTAATTTTATTTTTTTTTAAATTTTTTTTTTGAGATTTAAATTATATACAAATGCTTGATTTGTTTGTGTTTGTATTTTTCATCAGGGCTGATATCTCTAAATTTAATTATTTTTTAATAAAAGTAGATTGCATTTTGAAAAATTGTGTCATTTTTCAGTGTTTGTATTTATCAAAACTGAATTTCCTAATTTTAAAATTTTTTCAATAAATATAACTTCCATTTTGAAAAATTATGAAATTATTTTTTTAATTTGCTTTCTCAGTGTTTGCCATTTTTATCAGAACTGACTTTTCTAATTTTAAATACCTTTCACCATATTCAATTTGTATTTTGAAAAACTGTGATAGATTGTCGATAGTATTTCAAAGAGTAACAAACACTTTTTAGTGTTAGTGTTCAAATTGAGAATTTGACACTCAGAATTGAGATTTCTAATTTTAAATATTTTTCAATAAATATAACTTGCAATTTGACAAATTGGTATATTTCTAAAATAAATGTTGCTGGCTGGATTAGTTTTCGCAGATTTCATCAGAAGATATTTATCCAATTTTAAATACTTTTCATTAACTTTGCATTTTGAAAAACTGTGTTTTTTTAAAAAATGTTAAAGGTTTGGTTTTATGAGTGTTTGTAATTTTAATCAGAACTGAATTTATTTCTTTTAGATATTTTTATATAACTTGCATTTTGAAACACACAAACAAATGCCTAGTGCTTGAATGTATTTTTTATTAAAACCAAATTTTCTAATTTTATAAAAATATAATATATTGTAGATGATAGATAAAAAAAATTATAATAATATATGAAAATATAAGGTGAGGCTAGAGCAAAGGTCAGAGTAACCGATAGTGACCGATAGTGTACCATTAAACTAAAACAAATTATGAAAAAGTGAGATGTATATTAAAAACTCGATCAACGATATCGATTTGAAGCTCTCAAATTCTTATTATAAATCTTTGTTAATTTTATAAAAAATAATAAAAATATTTATTAAACATTTAAAAAAATACATAAAGAAATATAATTTCAAATACTCAGATGCACAAATCAATCATCGATAATTTTAAAAACTTTTGCAAAGACAAATAATTTAGAATATTAAACGCACTAATTGATAAATACTACTCGGAAAATTTAAAGTTCAGATTGTGAATTGGAATATAACTTGACATCATCGGTTATCGTGTCTTCAGCAACCTCTTCGTAATCTCGTTCTAGAGTTGCTATATCACTTCTGGCCTCTCCAAATTCACCTTCGTCCATTCCTTCGGTTACGAACCAATGTACAAATGCTCTTTTGGAATACATCAGATCGAATTTGTGGCCTAGACGTTCCCAGGCGTTCTGGATCGCTGTGGTGTTGGACAACATCGAGACGGCGCGTTGGACTTTGGCAAGATCTCCTTCTGGGACGGCCGTCGGCGGTTGGTAGTTGATCCCGACTTTGAATCCAGTTGGACACCAATCGACGAATCTTGATAATGGAATTATTATTTAAAATCATAAACACACGCACATGTATCTGTTTTAGTATATATTTCGAATTTGAAACCACAAAAATGTAAAATCTAATTTCTGACTGGACTTATAGCTTAACTTGAAATTGTTTATTATTTGATCAACTTCGAAACAGGAGATTTAAAAAAATACTAGCGATGTATTTTGCGTTTAACTAAACTGTATATATATAGCTGACCCGGCGACGTTGTTTCACCATAGCACATTTCAGAAAAAGTTTTCCATGTATTTTTCAATCACAAATTATACAAAATTAAAATAAAGAAAATTAGTCCCAAAATTTAAAAAAATGTTAGGGTTGGACAACTCTTAATAAAATGAATTGCTTTTTAAGTTTCCGTAGGGTAGTTATAGTAATGGGTCAAAAATCGAAATGAAAAATTTTTGCATATCTTCGTTTTGAAGGTTTTTGAACATTTTGGCATACCTCAGAAAAAATTGATATGTGTATGAGTGAATGTTTTGTATGTCCGCATTTTTTCACTTGAATGGTTCAAAAAACATTCGATTCCTATTGATAGGGAGATGTAAAAAAAATGTATATCAAAAATAATTCAGATTTTAATTTTAAGTCTGGCTAAAGTTCTAAAGCTCAGTTGTATACTTTAAATAAATATTTTAAACTTTGTAATTCAGTTTATAAATTTTTATAAATATTAGACAATGTTATAGTAATTATAATAATCTATTTTAAAACATTTAATTAACATTTAATAACAGCAATTTGCCTTAAGGCACGATGCCATACACAACTAGTTTTAAGTAAAATTTGAGTTATTTTTAAGCTCAGAAATTTAAACTAAAAAATGGCTATAATATTAGGAGTTTGTGATAAAAAAGTAAAAATTCAGGGTGGTATGTATTCTTCATTGCCATATTATAAAGAAATAAAACAAAGAAATCAGTCTAGAACTTAACAAAAAAAAAATTAAGGGTGAACCATCCTTATCACTTAGGGATATAAAAAATAGATTGTAGCCGATTCTTACACCTACTGAATACAAATATAGAATTTGGTAAAAATCGGTAAAGGAGGAGTACGGGAACGAACATTGTAACATGGGAATCTTATATATATATAAGATATATAATGTATAAATATATATAAATGTATATATATATACATATATATATATATATATATATATATATATACATGTATATTGAATTGTGTGGATAGTAATAGAAGGTATGATTGAATTATTGCTCTATGTACAGCACTTTCACGAAAATTATAATTTTCAATATTAACAAAACGGAATATCACTAATTTCAACTAACCTGATACTTCTTTTATTTTTCATAATGGCAATTGCCGCATTTACGTCCTTCGGCACGACGTCACCCCGATAGAGCATACAGCACGCCATATACTTTCCCATTCTCGGATCACATTTCACCATCTGATTCGATGGTTCAAATAATTCCGACGTGATCTCAGCCACACTCATCCCCTCATGATAAGCCTTATCAACTGAAACTACAGGAGCATATGAAGCCAATGGAAAATGAATCCTGGGATAAGGAACTAAATTCGTCTGGAATTCAGCCAGATCTACGTTCAAAGCTCCGTCGAATCTAAGAGAAGCTGTTATGGATGAAACGACTTGACTGACAAGTCGATTTAAGTTGCAATATGTTGGTCGTTCTATGTTGAGTTTTGTTCGACAAATGTCGTATATTGCTTCATTGTCTACCATGAAGACAACATCGGTATAGTTCATGGTCGAATGGGATGTTAGTATGGAGTTGTAGGGTTCCACAACGGCTGTGGACACTTGAGGAGCTGGGTAGACCTACAATAAAAAATAAGTTTTGCATGATATTAATCAAATGATGATATCATCAAAATTTCTTTCTTTCTTACCGCAAATTCGAGCTTGCACTTCTTCGAATAATCGCTGTAGATATGTTGCATCAGCAGTGAGGAAAATCCAGAGCCAGTTCCTCCTCCAAAGGAATGGAAGACGAAGAAGCCTTGCAAACCAGAACATTGGTCTGCAAGTTTTCGGATTCTGTCTGCTACTGTATCAATAATTTCACTTCCGATCGAATAATGCCCACGGGCATAATTGTTTGCCGCGTCCTCTTTGCCAGAAATCAGTTGGTCGGGGTGGTATAATTTTTTGTACGGGCCTGAACGGACTTCATCTAAAGTAATACAAAAAATTGACAATTGATTACTTTGCTTTATATTAACACAATGATATCTTTTTTAAATTGTGAAACAATGCTTTTAATTTGAATTTAATTTAATTTATATGTCTATAATAATGTGTATTGAAGCGTTTTTTAAAAACAGGAACAAAAATAAATAGTAGGCATTCAAAATAAATATGATGTTATTTCACAAACCCTTATAAAATATTTAGAACAAAGCTTAAACGTGTCTTGAAAAAAATATTTTTAAAATTGACAGGTAAAATCCAAAAGCAATCCAAAAAATGTTTTGTTAAAAATAATTGTTTGACGTGATTTTGTTAAAAAACGTAATCAAAACTTAAAAATACGCATTACATCTAGAAAAAATATGACAGTATTCATAATATTCTTAGTACATAATACATTTTGTTAGATATTGTCAGAACTGTTCCAATATCTTAAAAATGTTGTATCTAACAAACAAGACATTTTTTGGTCAATTTGGTTATAATATACTACAGGTGATGTAAAACAGTATAAACATGATGGATCATAAACTCACTAAAAATTAAATGCATTTTCAAAAATATAACATTCTAGAGTGTATTCAAATAATACTGAAATATATATTATAGGGGAGACTGGGTACGGTAGTAACAATCGTCATATCAGCTATACTATTATATAATGGTTTTGAGATAGAACCCAAATTGTTAAAGATGAAGTATGTTAATTCAAACAAGTTTCCATTATAGCATTGAATCAACACCTGACATTAACATGATCTACAGACCGAATTCCTTTTAGTAAGTTATTTTTTTTTATAATACCTATTAATTGTATAGAGATAGATCACTTGTTTGTTATTTTGAAAGAAAGTTGAACATTAGTAGTTAATTACCAGTAATGAGTTTGGTTTGTATATGTTGTGAAAAGTATTTCTTGTCCTTTTTGGGCAAAATTTCAGCAGATAAAGAAACATCTATTTTAACTAATAAGAAAAAAGAAAAGGAAAATTGAAAACAGAGAAAAATAAAATTTCACAAAGATTTTTGTTTAAAAAAATTTTTTGCCATATATTTCTGCATTATATTTATAAGTTATCAAATGATTATGTTGTGTTGTGTTACATATTTTTGACAATAAAAGTCATTTAAACCATTTTGTTGTTTACAGCTATTATTTTTTAACCTATTTTTATGTTGTTCCGATGTGGACGCCTTGCCCATTCCTTGTATGATTTGATTTTATGACTAATTAATCTATTTGCAATATTTCCTCGTAGTTAAATGTGCAAATTACCATTAAATTAACTTTTCAGCTATCTGCTGAATTAATAAAATTATTGCAGATCAAAAAAGTGGCACAACCGTACCCAGTTTTACCTACTAGATAATATAATGAGCTACAGTAAAAATAAAACAGTATATAGCTGATTATTCAAAAAAAAAAAAAAATTATCAGAGTCAATGTGCATAAATATGGCATCAAATAATAATATATCGTTTTAGATAATAAGAATAAGATCTTGAATGGGTATTCTGTTCGGACGTATTTTTGTTTTATTATATTGGCCATGAAGGTGACAACATTCCGGGCATTAAGCTTTATACGGAATGATTGCTACCCCTGGGAGAGGGGGTAGCGGAGTGTTTTAATAGAACTAGTTGTTCACTGCTAAAAGTAAAGTACGCGAAACAACATGTATAATAAATAACCAATAAATAAATCTTCTTCAATTATAACTTAGTGACAAATCAGTGATTGTAATAAGAACTGCAACAAATACATAACTTACAAATAAATCAGTGTTTAATACAGTCTACAGCTACAAGAGTTAAATTATAACCCAACAACCTGAATATCGAAGGAGAGGTTTAATACATTTTATAACTATGTAATATAATTACATATTCCTAATTCGTTTTTGGCAAATAATAAGTTTATAAATTTAATGCTATAAATAACACTCCTTTCATACATTATTATTTATACCGACTATAATTTGAATTCAAGTGTAGCAGGCTTAAATTTTCCATCAGTTTAATTTGAATGAACCTAATAAGTTTTTGGAAAGTTTGCTATATAGGAACTTTATTACTCACCGATCACAGTTGGTTCCAAATCAACCATAATGCTCCTGGGTACAATGGAACCATTGCTGTTTTCGCTAAAGAAAGTGGTGTAGCAGTTGTCGCCAAAAGCCTTGGCCTCATCCTTCAGTTTGCCGTCTGGGGCGATGCCATGCTCCAAGCAATACAATTCCCATGTCGAGTTGCCAATCTGCACGCCTGCTTGGCCCACGTGTAATGTTAGACACTCTCTCTGAAAAAAAAAATTAAAAAAATAAATTATCCTATTTATTGATTCTGGCTTGCCCGTAGATAAGAGGTTAATAGCGATTCGACTTGATTCAGAGATCCCGGGTTCAATACCCACTTGGAGCAGCCTGTTGTCAAGCAGCAATGACAGCAATTTTAACATGAAAATATAAATAGCAATATGCTTCCGAATAAAATAAGCCCTTACCCAGCATTGCTGCACCAATAAAAATATTCGGCCTATTACAGAAATTGTAATAATAATATATCATACAGAGATGTGACAACTGTCACACAGACTAAATCAAATCAGCATAACAGCTTATAGGACTATTAGGTTCTGATTACTATTCAAAAATAACAAAAAAACTATTTAAATTAGACAAACTGCAGAAAACTTAAGCTTTATAATAAAATAAAATATTTATAAAATATAACATCGTGTGAATTTCGAACTTTCGTTTTTGTAAAGTCTTATTGTGTGAAGCCAATAGTGGTACTAGTTTTAATTTTGTTAGCATTCAATACTGAAAAAATTTGAGAAATATAGATTATGTAAAAAATTATGACATATTAATTCAATCTATTCAAAATATTGGGATGATCTAGGTCGTTTTAATAAAGCATACCTTTATCAAAACGACGAATAGACAATTGCCAGTTAACATTATAGTATAAAACTCATTTATCATTTTTGACATTTTATCTGCTATTAATTACGAATACACATTTAATAGTCACCCACTAACACTAAATTGAACTTACCATTATAGATGCCGCAAAGTTTGTAAATTAACTAAAAATTTTGGACTTAAAGCCGAAACCAAATTTTGATTTTTTAAATGAAAAATTTAGAATACCATATTTAAAAATGATTTTGTTTTGTTTCATTACCGGTAACTAGAATTTTCGGTCATTTGATTGTCAGATTGACAATGAAATTATTTCGATATTATCATTTTTTTTAAATGCATGAATGATTTTATTATATAGAACATGCACATAAATGCAGTTATATTGGTTTACACAAACAGAGTCTTAAACAAATTAATAATAATTAATAAAAATTACGTTAATAATTGAGGTATTATTATTATATTATAAATGTAAAATAAAATATATAATAAATGATATGTATGTACAAAATGAAAATTGCTTCATAGTCTCTTATACCAGACTGAGGTATGAAAATGAAAAAAAATATGATCATCTTCATCAGTTAATAAAAATCTTAAAATAGTCTCTATTATATATTATTATTCAGTAAGTATGTTAACTTATCTACAATCGATTAATGGATATAGTTCTAAGATATACATTATTACATAGAAATTTCCTGCTTATAATTTGATGCTTTTTGTTTATGAATAATATGGCATAATATAATTTTTTTATTCATTCAATATTATACAACAATCAAAGTTATTGACAGAACTCTACAAGTTATTAATTAATTAAGTTAGGACTAAATTACAAATAAAAAAATAACCACAAAAAGAAAAAATAATAATAAATAAATAAATGAACATAAATAAAAATGAATTACAAATGAAGAAAAATAAATAAATAATAAATTTAATAAAAAAGTAGTAATTGCTCGAATAAGTAATTAACTATGGAAAGAGTTTTTCACAATAAGACTATATTTGTATTCTTGTGTAATTTTCTTATAGGCGGACTATCAAGCAGATGAGCCATTGTTGCATTAGGATGATTATAAATTTTACAATGTACTTTAGCACTGGTAATTTTGATGACATGCTAACAAACCATGGGGAATCAGTAATCGTTAATATGGTAGATAGTTTTTTAGAACAGTTTTATGAAATAATTCACAAAAATAGAATTCACAAATATAAAATATATAAACAGCGTCAAAATTGAGATATATCGCGTACTTCGTTAGTTTTATAAATCTATACGTAACTCAAATGCCATTAAGCATGAACATAGGAGTAAAAAACAAATAAACACGTTGTGTATATAAAATGTAAATATCTGTATATAAAATATTCTCGTATATATACATACATATATATATATATATATATATATATATATATATATATATATATATGGAAAAGCGTAGCCCATCGTAGAACGCTGATAAAAACGTAGAGCGTCTGCAGCTAGCGTCGGCGCCTAGGTTCAAATCGATATTATGTATAATATATATATATATATATATATATATATACATATATATATATATATATATATAATTATATGTATTTATATATTCACTATTTATAAACAAGCATATAAATATATACAGATTTGTATATTACATTTGTAATGTATCAACAATTTTTCGTATTTATTTTTATAACTTTATTTCATCAAATTTGATTTGTTACTACATTGTTTAGTGCCTCTATCTATAAATATGTACCAAAAATGAAGCTATTATTATAACAATAAACTCATCTATAAAATAAACATAGAAATACAATTATTAGTAAGTAACATAGTAAATCCTTATATGGTAAATGATGATTAAAAAACATAACGCAAAAAATATTTTTTTGAGTAATATGTATTAATTTACACATAATACATCACATTTATAATTTTGCACATTTTTTAATTAAATTTGTTGATCCAATGGAGCAGTAATAGTAGCGGTGAAGTTTTTTTCTTAAATAAAATATTATTTTAGATATTTTTAAAAATGTGACGAGCATAGCTCACTTGGTAGCGTGTTCGATTCATACGACAGAGATTTTTGAAAAAATATGTGTAGTTAATTTGAAATTAAATGAAAATTACATTTGTTAAGTAGAAATTGAATAAATATTGAGAAAAATAGGAATTACAGAATTCGAAAAGCTGAATTGTATTAGGAGTAAGAAGAAAAAACATCAGAATTTGCTGAGATTAAAAAGAAGAAAGAAGAAGAAAAAATATAATGAAGATAGAACTTGAATAGAATTAGAAATTTGATCGAAAACAGCAAAAATTAAAGAAATTAAGAAGTAGAAGAATATAAAATAGGATATATATATATATATATATATATATAGATTGAATATAATATAAAAAATGATATAGAATGTAAATAAATAAAAATCTAGTAGGTGGCTAAATGCTCAGAGTAAGCGAGGCCAAATAATCATTAAAAATAATAATAATAGTAATTTTTAAAAATATATAATTACCATCAATCTTTTACATATAGTATATATATATATATATATATATATATATATATATATATTACAATGGCTTGATTATTAACTCGTTCCATTTATTATAATATTGCTCTGTGCGTTTCGCTCGGAGTTTGTTTGTAAAGAGTTCTGTTCCCGTTTGACTGTTATACTTTGACAGTTCGTTATGTAATTATTGAATTTTCTCCATTTAATGTGTAATCTGCAGAGATAGCGTCAATATTGGTTTAATAATATCCTTCGTGTTTTATTAGCAGTATCAGGATATATATGAGAGCAGATTTCATCAGACGGCACGTTACCAAACGTACATGTACAACAGAAAATGAGGATGAGGTATAAGACTTTCTTTTTTGAAATTGTTTATTAAATTGTATAATATAATAATATAGAGTAGAACAGGGCTTAGAAATTCTTGGGTAAAAAGTTCCACCCGCCAATATCCCAAAAACAAATAAAGTTAGGAATTTTGTTAATAATAATATTTGAAAGTAGAGGAAAAAGGATGTATAATCAGCAATTGTCTCAAATTATGCAACGTTGCTATTAGGATATAAGCGGCAATGTTTGAAAATCTATGATAAAAGTATTTTCTTTTGTTGTTAGTTTTTTTGGTTTTGAACACTTATTTAGTTTACAAGATCTAAATGTAATTTTTTAATAAAAGTTATTTTATTGTTTATTTTTTGACATCGCATTGCATATATGTACATTAATCATATACATTTTATAAGTTAACTTTACAATTTTATTTTATTAGATTGAATATAATTAAATAAAATCAGTTGGGAGGTTGGGAGGAAGATTTTTTGCCTTACTATCTCCGTCCATATTAAAAAAAAATTATTTAATTGTTTCATAAGTTGTATTGTTAATTTTAACTTAGATTCGACTGATTTTTTATAACCCGTATAAAAGCTTACACGTGAGTGGGGTAAAAAGGACCAATTATAATTTACAATGGTAAAGGCGTAAATATTGTTTAAGAAAATAGTAAATAAAAATGTAAATTTAGTTAGAAGTAATTTTATAATGAATAATTTAAATTAATAGTCATTCTAATTCTGATGAAATATTAGATCAAGTTAATATACAGTGTTGTCTCTGTAAAAAATGTACCCATATTTTTTTTATTTTGCATTGATTGAATAATGTAGCTATTATTTCGTAAAATTACCTTTGAAAATGAAAATAGGACCTTGAACATATTGCTCCCTCGGCGTCCTATTTTACCTCTCCTATGGGGAACCAGATAACAAAATTTTGAAAAACAGCAAAAAACACGTTTTTACAATGATAAATTAGCTGGAAATTTTACTGACCATAGTCGTGATATTATTGGACTCAGTTGTTGTAATATTGTTGGTTTGGTTTTTACAATATTTGAAATTTTAATTCCACTTTGACTCAAAGTGGAACTGGACCTATGTGCTCGTCCTACTATCTATAAGATATTTATATAACTTATATATAAAATTTTTCTCTAATGTATAAATTTATCCTTTTATACGGTTATTCGGATTTTAATAAATCTTTTTAGAGTTTGTCGAGGGAAATATTCAAGATGTGGGGAATTATAAAACTATAGTAATATTGTAGAAATCAATAGAAAAAATGCAAAAAACAACATATCATTGTTTGACATTGAATACATTTCGACATATGAGAACTGTCATCTGCCAAAAATGTCGATTCACTTAAAATTTGAATTTAGTTTAAGCGAGCCTAGACAATTTTAGTATATAATATCCATATTCATGATTATAAATAAGAAAAATGTAATATTTACAATATTATTTCCGAAAATCAACTGAGATGTGCCAGAAATTAAAATAATATAAGT